TGCGCGCCCGGGGCCGGCGCTCCCCCCCGCAAGCGCTGCGCCATGTGCCCGGGGCCAGGCCAGCCCCGAGCACCTGGCGGGCGCATGCAAATGCCCCCGTGGGCGCCATGGCGCCCGCGGGCACCGTGTTGGGGACCACGGTCCTATAGGATGAATAAGGGGGCACAGAGCCCCTGGCAGGACAGAGGAGAATGGGAAACAGAGTAATGAGGGGAGGAGATGCGTAAGGGCACACAGAACCCCCTTAGCAGTGGAGATTCAGGGAATCTTGTATTGGGAAGGGGGCGCACAGAGCCGTTGACATGGGCGTATGGAGGTACACACAGAGCTGCTAGACTTGAATAGACGGATAATAGGAGACCTTTGTGGGGAGAAGAGGGAAATGGGGGATGTGACACAGTATGGAGTGGCTCATGACCATGAGTGCCAGCCTCAGGGAAGATTTTCAAAAAGCAGCACAGAAACCCCAAATTGATTGTATATTTTGTAATTAAATTTCACCAACTCACTAAAAAGCACCAACACCTGAAGCACTATAACAGTCTTTTGATGGAGTCAGAAGTATTCCCCTTGAACGTTCCGGTCTATCTTGCAACCCAGACAAACTGGACTATGTGATAGGTCACTCTGCACCAGAAATAACAATAGTATTCAGGTTACTTGCTGTCCCAAAGTACCAGTCACTTGGCTCAGGTCAGTCATATCAAAGACTATGTCTATAGCTGATCTTGTAATCAACTAGCTAGAGACATTTATTAATTTATAAAGCAAATCAAATATTTACAAGGTTAAAACAAGAAACATATACACAAATGAGAGAGTCTTAGATTTAAAAAGGCAAAACAAGCTTCTACAATAAGCAACACTGTGCGTCCTTTAGGGCTGACCTGTGCCATCCAGTATAAGGATCTCTTGCTTTTATTTAGGAATCTTTGTTCCTGAGAGTCCAGATACAGAGAAACTGTTTTTTTTTTTAATGCTATCAGGGTTTTTTATCCATCCTCATCCCAGAATGCAAGCTGACCTGGGATAAGTTCATGCACAGGACACCCCTTCCTGGAGGGAGTGAGGAATGTAGTCAACAAGGTTTCTGTCCTTTGTTACACAATGTCTCATTTACCTTAAATGGACCATCTTGTGTTCAGGATAAGGAGCTTTTGGTGTGTTACACAATTACAGAGGTTAGTAATGCAAAAACTCAATATCACTTTATGCCATAGGCTATAGATATTACAAGTAGGATTAATACATGCAACATACTACATTAATTCCATAAATCTAAACACAGTCTTGTGACACTAATACCTGTGAGTTAGCATAGTTAAAACAGATAAGACACACTGGATTCCAACTGTGTATATGTCAATGTTCAGTGAGGTCCTTGGCATGAGGTGGCACCTGGTCTGCCAGCATCTTGGGGAAGAGGATGTACACACCTCTGGCAGAGTGGAGTTGCAAAGCATTCTTGGAATAGAGAGGATGAGAGGGTAGCACATGCAGGGAGCTTGTGGGGATGGAGACCCTGGTGGATGTAATAAGCTTGATATAGACAAGCTATGAAGTGTGTAGCTCCTTAGTTAGTACATCCTGAGGTTCAAATATAAACCCTAATACAGCATTGTATTACTATGTCTGCTTTTTACACTTTCATGTAATGTCTCAAGATACAATTGCGGGAGGGTTTGTCTCGTTTGCCATACTTGTTACTGACTAATTCTAAAAGAAATAGTGCCATCTACTGGAAGTCTTCTTTCTAAATCAGTTGAGCCATGAGAATGGCTAGCCTTTGTAATAGCAGGGTGTCCTGACTGGATTTGGGTTTTGTCACTAAATCTAACGTGTAAGTGTCTTGAAAAGTGAAAGTATTACATTTTATTCTTTGCAGTTATTTGAAGCAAATCAAGCCTTAGAAGTGGAAAGCAAGGCTAGGTAAATGTAAATACAGTTGTCAGATTACGCTTCTATAGGATTATTTGAGGAAGGATGAATAAACAAGTGAACACTCCACTATAATGCCACTTGCTACACAGTATGTATGTGTGCATTTCAGCTATTTCTTTTTAACCTCAAACTGAGTGTTAGGTCCTCATAGCTATACAGCAGTTAACATCAGCACCTGAAAAAAGGTGTTTTTTTCTTATATCTTTGTGTATTATTTTATATAGGCAATCTTAATTGCATACTGTGCTGTGATAGCCTCCTCTTAGCACTGGAATTATTCTTAATGTCTTTTATTTCAGTCTCCATTTTGGATTCTCAATATTCCTTCTGAAGACATGGCAAGAGGACTAATGAAAAGGACAGTATGTGCAAAGTAAGAGTTATAAATCATAATTTATAAGGGTAGCTATTTTGTGGCAAGTATTTTTACACTTGCAGGTGAGGTCTGTCATTGACTGGGCAAAGTCATTTTGCGTAGATTAATTCTATTACATATATTTAATTTCTTGAACTTTCCTATAAATTTAATGTGCTTGCAAAAGGGAAGTAAAAGAACAGTTTAAAATTTGTACGATTTCAACTTCAAACATTATTAATTTTATTGAATAATTACCATTCATAGTAAATTTAAATCAGAAACTCATGAAGCTTCCATTACTCTTTCTATAACTAATTCAAATTATTTTGTGGTTTGTAACAGTAAATTTTTTCTTTAAACTAAAATGACAGTTGAATAGGAGATGCAATTTTAATGTTGTTAGCAAAGTATGACTTTATTTTGCACAAACACATTCACAAACACTCTGAAAATATATAATAGATGGAGTTGCCTTCAGTGTTGAAAATTGGAACGTGTGTACATTTTTAAATGAGATATAATTGCTTGAAAATAATCCATCTTTATTTGTTAGTTTCTAGTCTTTTTAGCCTTTGCCTGTGTTCTTCATCACAGAGTACATTGCTTATTTCTTCACATTAACAATCTGAGGGCAAAGTTGTTTGGACACCATGGTTGACCCGTATCATGTGAAGTTAGTGACTCTTTTGAAGGAGAAAGGGGAGAGATTTTTTTTAATGTGTTTGGGAATATTTTTATTTTTATATCAGTTGTAGGTGACAGTAGTTACTGTGGTGATAGATAAAAGTTAAAAACTGAATTTAAAAAAGAAGTGGTAAGGAATAGCTGCTCCCTGGCTTTACTCTTCCCCTCCTGAATGATTAGTCCTCAATCTGGAGCTGTTTCCAAGAGTCATCCAGTGGCCCTTGGGAGGGGAAAGTGTTCTAGGGACCTACTTCCTTCCTTTCTTAAGAGAAGGTCATCTTGTTTTGTCTCTGCTGGTAGAATGCTGGTAGAAGCAGAGGGGAGGATACAGCCCTATATGTTTTTCCACAATTTGTGTAAGGTTGTGTCCATTATATGTCATCTTTCAGACCAGACTCAATGATAAGGGGGCTGAAAAGGAAGCCTTATGTCTTTTTGACTGCCAGTTATATCGTATATTCAGTTTCACCTATGCCATGCTATGAATTTACTTATGCAAAAGTGTCTTTATATTGAAAATATAGTTGTATTTCCGCTCGGGATATACTGTACTCTACTTCAAACAGGGTGGATTTGATTTAAATCAAGTTGATTTAAATATGATTTAAACTACTAGTCAGGAAGACTCAATTTAATCATGGTTTTCTACATAAAAGTGTGTTCTTGTGGCTTTTATAACCTTAATACATAATCTTCACAACTCAGAAATAGATGTAAGTTTCATTTTTAGAAGGTACACACTATACATTTTTAAACTGATTTATTTTGAAAAATTTTCAATTAGTTTTACAGCTATATCAGAAAATGAATGATTGGTTATTTCCTTTACCAAAGGTAATTGACGAAGATATTTATGAAGTCATTGGGAGGTGAGCTATCTCCAACTCAACAGGCTAATCATTAATATTTGGAGGACTTTCTTGCCATGCTATATTAGGAGAATAACACCAGACAGACTTTTTTTTTTTTTAACTAAAACAACAATGTTACGTATTCTGGATTTTTTTCTTCAACAGCAATCATATAATATTTTAACAAAACAAGCACATGGATTTTTTAATTTAGTTAAGCATTCAAGTTTTTTAAAATCAGGTTTGTTTTTGTTAAAATTGTTTTAACTAAAATAGTTAAATGGATTTTTTTTTAAATATATCAACAGTGTTAGCCAGGTCAACATGAGAAACTTAAATGGAACGGGTCACTGAGATCACAATTAAAAAAAAAAAAACCCTATTCAAGACTTTCTTGTATAAGGGCTTGAATATATTAAAAAAGAAAACATTCAACATGGAATAGTGTGAAACACTTACTATGAAATTTGGTGTTTATTTTATAAGGTATCATTTTCTTCACTAACAGCGATCTTCTAATCATGGAATTTCCAGGTCTATATTTGAACTGTGGGGTCAGGGAAAATCTGCAGAGGAGCTGCATACATCTCTTAAGAACTACCCACTGGAGAAGATGGTATGTGTGTAAAAATCAAAGCTACTATTTTCACAGTCATACAGGATAGTATTGCAGTTTGTACTAACCAAAAGGTGTTTTTTTTTTAAATTTTAGGTTCCGTATCTGCAATCAGACTCAACATACAAAATATGTATTCATGCATTTAACAAAACTCTGACGCAAGAGGAGAAAATTGAAAGGATAGATGTAAGTGTGTTTTTTTTAAAAATCTTATTTTCTGCTTAATTTATTCATATGAGTACTGCAGTGTTAATGCATTTACACATGAGCTGGGATTTTCAAAAGGGTTTTCACTCTAATCTGTTTGACATTGAGTGGGCCTAACTCACTTAAAATCTATTGAAAATCCATCATTGTTACTTTTCCTAGTAGATCTCTCTCCAAATCTTTTTATGAAGAAAAACACACATGACTCTACCTATTTTACAGACAGGGATACTGAGGCACAAATGTATTACGGCCAAAATGTTCAAACTTGGATAGCTAAAGTTGGGCAATGTATTTCTGGCCACAACGCCTCTGGAAATCTGGCCACTTTCAGGTGCCTTTACTTAAGGCATTTATGTTTGAAAACTTTGACTTAAGGGTCTTGCCCAATGTGATAGGAGTTACCAGCAGAGCTGGAAATAGTCTTCTGATTCCTAGTCCTGAACCTATTTTGCTGGACCATGCTGTGTATTCATAATTAGAATAGTGTTTTAATCTAGAAGAATTGGTAAATTAATGTTAATTTTTGTCTGTTCTCATGATCTTGTAGAGAAATAGTGAATACTGTACTTATGCAAAATGTTCTGTAGTCTTTATAACCACCTGTTTTATTTAGCTTATTGAAATGTTCACTATTAATGGTGATTCTAATTTTTGTAGTGTTGGGTTGCAGTGAGGAAGTTCGGTCAAAACTCCTTCAGTTGTCACACACAAGGGAGTTGGAACAGGAATCCTTTCTCCTCTTCCTCTTATGGCCAGAATATTTTTTTAAATGGCTGCATGTAATATGACTGAATTTTAACACAAGATACTTAGTGTAGCCATAGTCTTTACCGAGAGCTGGTATGTTTTGTCTCGACTTGAAAAAACATTTTAGTTTAAAAATTCCATAATTAGTATTCACACTAGGTCTCTTTAGAAGTAAGAGGTGCTCATTTAATAATAAACACAATGGCTCCTGACCTATCCTCTATCCCAAACCATTCAGACTTTCTTTGTACATCAGCAAGAAGGTAAAGAGTACAAACTCAATCTTCTTTGTTTCCTTCCCATTTTTTGGTAACTTTTAATGCCTTCTTAATCAATACATTTTGCTTTTTTTGTCCTGATTTATTTAAAAATATGTCTCGGGAAGTTTAAAATTTGTTTTTCCTATTTATACAGGCTCTGGGATTTCTGCCATTTGACGGGAAAGTGAATTTAAAAAAGCCAGAACATATCTTCTGGATACTGGAAGATTATGGAATGGACCCTAACAACATTCCACAAAAACCTCTTTATTCATATTTTGGTAGATGGGTGAGTGGAAAAACTATGTTACTTCTTAATATTTAGCATAATCAGAAAAGAGTTTCTAGCATCATTATTTAATTTTGCATTTAATTTCTAAAAAAATAAAGAAAATTTAAAGTTTTAAAGAAATAAAAGTAAGATAAATTCACTGCTTGGTGTTTTTTTTTTTTTAAACCATTGCTAGTTGTTTATGCCATCCTATACCGCTGGGATGGGCAGTATCTTTTGCAAGGGTTCATTCCAAGAATATTGGTTCAGTGGCAGAAGCTCTGGGCAGGGATTTAGGTTCGGGGTCTGGGAGGCAGTTTGGGTCCAGGCAGGGGTTGTTACTTGGGACTAGGAGATTGAGGTGTAGAGGGGGGTGCCAGGTGCAGGCTCTGGCTAGGAGGCACTTATCGTAGGTGGCTGCTGACGGATGGTGCAGCGGGGCACTCAGGCAGGCTGCTTGCATGCCTGGATGGCCCCACGCTGTCTAAAGTTGCTAGCTTCTGAGCTGCTAGGGCAAATGTGTCTCTGGGATAGGGGACAGCAGGTGTCTGCTTGCTGCCTGTACCCGCAAGCACCGCTCCATAACTCCCATTGACTAGTTTCTGGCCAGTGGGAGCTGTGAGGATGGTGCTAGGGATGGGGGCAGTTGCACAGAGACCCGATGTTGTTCTCCCCTCAAGGGATGTTCAGAAACACACTAACCCCAGCAGCTGACCATGGGGGTGTTTGGGGAGTGGCGTAGCCAGAGCCTAAGCAGGCAGGGAGGGTGCCTGAGTGCCCCGCTAGGCTGTGGGACATAGTGAAGGGTCATGGTGGTCCAGAGGCAAATGTTTGGTGGGCTCAATTTGGCCCATCGGCCATATTTTGCCCACGCCTGATATATAGTAGAGTGGTAGCACAGAATTCTGTGAATCTTTATTGTAAGTTAAAAAAAAAAAAAAAAAAAGGCAGATTAATTCATCAGTCCAAATATTTGGGGCAAGTTTCTGCAAGGCATAATATATGCTTAATAGTACTACCCTGCCTCTCTGTGCTACCCCCAGAGTAAAGAACAATGCATGCCTAAAGGCATATGGAGGGAGGTGCATGGCTAAAGCACTATTCTCTAGGGCTGTGTCTAGATTACATCCCTCTTTCGACAGAGGAATGTAAATTAGACACTTCGAAATTGCAAATGAAGCCAGGATTTAAATTTCAAAAAGGCGCTATTTGAGGTTTACAGGATCTTTCGAAAAAGGCTTCTATTTTCGAAAGAACCGCATCTAGACCGCGGTTTTATTTTCAAAATAGCACTTTTTTGAAAGAGTGCCATGATGCGAATATGCAAATGAAGCATGGGAAATTCAAATCCCGGCTTTATTTGCAAGTTCGAAGTGTCTAATTTACATCCCTCTGTCGAAAGAGGGATGTAATCTAGACGTACCCTAGCTGTTGCAGGCCCTCTGAATAACTTGCTGAAATGCTGGATCCCAATAGGGCATACCTGAGGCTGTTTTATCCCACCATAAGAAATCAAAGTATCCCCACACTTCAGTAGGTGGGATACAAAGAAAAGTAAAATTTCCCCAAAATTTATTTGCCATGGGTCCATATATCTGCAGCCTGGAACCTCAGAAGTTGTGGATTAGTATAAATCATAAGTTAATATTTGTAGAGAAGAACATTGGAATTGCTGGATTTTGGCCCCGTCAAACACTATATTTCAAGTATTGCCATGTTTTTTAAACTGGCTGGAACATAATTAATCTGATCCATGTTCAAATAAATGTCATTTGACTTGTGTTCAAACTAGGGATGTTAGCTATTGTGTAATTGAATAGTTGTGTAACTGCATGAAATTGTAGCAGTTACGCGATTATTCAATAGTCAGCCATTCTGCTCCCGGACCCACTCCCAGAGAGCCCCCACTAAGGATGTTATGGACTAGTCGACTGTCCGATAAGCAATTGCTTATCGGATAGTCGAGTCAACTAGTCAATCCTCTTCCCCCCGCAGCAATGGGAGGAGGAAGACAGGGTACTTTAAAGCAGCAGTGCCTCATGGAGCCAATACTGAGCTCTGTGCGGTGCTGCCACTTTGAAACGCGGATCCAGTGCTCATGGAGAGCCAGCTCTTCCCAGGCACTGCCTCCCACTCTCCCCCTCTCTGTCCCCTCCCCCCCCAACAACTGCCCTTGATGCCCCTAATACAGAGGCAGAAATGGGGCGGAATGGTGTAGTTGATGAGATTAACTGATCAGCCCCGGGTGATTGGTTAACCATGTGGTTGTCTGCACAATGACATCCGTAGTTCATACAGCAGTGTCTTTCACAACATCGCCATGTTTCAATTACAATGGTGTATCAATATTCTATCATGCTACCTAACTGTATTTGTATCAGTGAATCCTGGGAAATCTGAACTAGTCCCTTGGACTGCTTTAGCAAAGATAGAGCATTCAGAGGTAGAACCAGAAGTACCTAGGGAAATGTGCTCTTGGATGTCCTTGTGCAAAGACAATTAGAAGGAAGGAAGACCAGTCAACCTGTTTACACAAATTGTGATAAATGCACATGCCCCCAACCAAATAATTAAGATCTGATTGTAAGAAAATAATTGAGACAGCCTGGACTGCTAGCAACTTGATTAGCTGGCAGCTACCAAGAGTATTGTCCACATTTATCTGTAATGTAGGGAGGGCTTTGAATTGCTGTAACATCGTTAGAGGCCTGAAGTTATTGTCCCATCAGTACTGGCTTTTTTCAATATTTAAACGTAGTAGAATCAAAACTAGGCTTCTGTAGTTTGGCCAGCCAGTTTGTATTGGATCAAACTATGCTGGGAGGTAGTGAAAGAATAATGTTATCCTGTGCCTTGTTGATTCTGTCCACATTTTTAGAATCGGAATAGTTGACATTTCCATTAAAAATGTTTGCTATTTTTCAGCAAGTTCTGGTTTGAAGACAATTTGCTTTCAATAGCATTTAAACATGGCTGGAAAACTAGTGTAGATGGTACCTTAATGTAGAACTTAAAGTGGTTTATGTGCGTAGCCAGGCATTTTCATACATTAGTGTATTTGAATAGTTTTACATTTAACTTTAATTCCAATTTTTTGTATGTAACTGGGTGCTTTGCACGTGTAGGGTATGTTTGCAGTGCATCTGAGCAAGTCTCTCAGCTCATATCTACAGACTTATGTTAGTGGTGCTCATTCTAGTGCATTAAAATTAGCTGTGTAAACACTGCAGCTTGGGCTGGAGCATGGCTTTATCCCTCCCCAAGCTCACTCCCAGATGCAGTGCCTTACATGCCAGAAGCCTTACCCTCTTTCCTAAGGAGGTGCATCTGAATGGGGTCAAATAGAAGGAGGAGGGATAAGAGAATTTCAAGGACTGCCAAAGAAAGCAATCCTGGCAGTGGCTTTTGGTGATACCTGAGGGCAGAGACTTAAGGCTAGTAGGGTAATTGCTTAATGTTTTTATATATCTTTTTTGTGTTGTGTGGAAGGTTGGAGAGGGAAAGCCCTGTCAGAAGGGCCTGCAGGACTGATCAGTTTTGTGGTTGTTAGGGGAGCCTTGAAAAGGAAGGAAGAAGGTTGAAGGTGGGGGCATGTAGAATGAACTCAGGTCACAAGGGGGTGCCCCAAAGGGAGCTGACATTATTAAGGGTTAGTAATTGCAACATCCCTATAACTGGTGTATAGCCTCAACCCTGAAATCTGTCTTGATGCAGCTTTTGTCTGGGCATTTTACTAATAGCCCAACTCTTTGATAGAAAAGTCTCATTTCTGTTTTTTTCAATGGATTCAACTCAGGTGGCATGATATTCAATGAAGAATGCCTGGTTTTCTGTTTGTAATGTAGTATAATTAAAGCTGTATATTAGTCTTCTTACTGTTACATCCAAGGACGTCCCATTGACTTTTTAAAAATGTTTCTACAGATTGCGGATGGGCAAAGGGAGCTTATTGAGTCATACAGTGTAAAAAGGAGACATTTTATTGGGAACACAAGCATGGATGCCTGCTTGTCTTTTATTATGGCAAATCATGGGAGAGTAAAAGCAAATGATGTCGTGTTTGATCCATTTGTTGGAACAGGTATTTTTTTCTACTGCTGAAAAAAAGTTGGAAAATTGAATATTGCTTGCTTTATGTATATTGTGTGTGTGTGTGTGTGTGTGTGAAAAGTAAGTTCTTTAATGGAGGGACTTCTTGTTTGTTTGTACAGTGCTTAGCACTGTGAAGTCCTGTTCCATGACTAGGTGCTGCTACAGTATGAATAAGAATAATTATAAAATCAGCTGCTTAGTTATGTCCCAGAGTCCTGCAAGGGAAGTGGCTATAACTTCAGGAGGACTGGGTAGATTTGCTGAAAATGTAGCCCAAAATAGCTTTTTAATTCTTTATTTACCTTGGGTAATATTTTAAAAGTCCCTTAGTCCCATTTTCAGAAGTTATTTAACTGTTGAAGATCCAAAGTGTCACTAACTTTCAATAGAATTTAGATTCCTAAATTATATGAAATTTGATATTAGACTCCTACATCATTGTAGGAACTTTTAAGAAAGATTATATATTCTTTAAGGGTGGAAATAATGAGCTCTTCCTTGTCCTGGGGAAATTAAGTAACAAAATTGTGCACTTCTTTCTGTGGCTGAGGTGGGTTATTTTCCCCCCCTCTGACAAGTCAGTAGGGGGAGCTTTTATTCCATTTATTGGATCATTTGTGAAGTACTCCTTCCTGGATCTTGTTTGAATTTGAAATGGAGAAGTCTACATTTCAGGATGTGCCACTGAAGTGCATAAAAATAGATTATGTAAAGATAATTTCATCAGTTTTTTTCAAAGGATATAGATGGAGGGCAGTGGATGTTGCTTACCTGGATTTCACTAAGCTTTGATCAGATGTGCAAAAGAACCTAGGGGAACAAGAAATGATCTAAAGGTAGCTGTGTTAGTATGGAAGAAAGGGGGAAGGTAGTGTGTGTTTAACTGGCAGAAAGGATCCAGAGAATGAATGTTAGTAGGTCCTCAAGAATTTGAGCATGGGACTGTGGGGAAGTTGTAAGACTGATTCTCTTTATTATGTGTAAATGTGACTTGGAACATATCCTGACTATAGTCCCTCAGTGTTTTCAGTTGATACAAAGCATTTGTTAGTTTCATGTTTTGTACTATAATCTAGCTCATGTGGTTACTTAGATTTTTTTTTTCAGTCCACACTATCATCTTTTCAGAAAGAACTTCTTCCTTGTTCTTGTTTTTTATCCCAATCATAGATTGCCAGTGTTTTTGGGAAGGTAAAGTGAATTCGTTTAGGCTTGTCTTCTGCTACTCTTGTCAGATTAATATAATTACAATACTTGTGTTTAAATAAAAACTAAAGTTACAAAGCAACTGTTCAGAGGGATTAATCAAGAAGGGAAACAGGTGACTCCTCTAGGGTGAGTAACCTTGTTTTTCCTAGTTCCAATTAACAATGAAAAGTGGAGAACAATTATTTTTTCTCCTCATTTTTACTTCATTTGAATTTCATTATAAATGAAATGGCATATTTAGCATAGATATTTAATGCATGTTAAGAATGCATATATGGTGATGATTAGCAGTTGATGAATGTAGCTGTGTGAAACTCCTCTTCACATTACAGCTAAAGTGAAAAACTTATCTGCACAGAGAGTCAAATTGTGAACCCCTTACTCACATGGAGTTGTTGATTCTTCTGGAACTGTTGCACTCGCTAAAATGTGATGATCCGTATATCTAATCACTCATCTCTGTGAGTTGCAGGTCCAGGATTTAGTCTGTAATTACAATGTAAGGCCTTGTGCTGTTATGTTAGACTTACTGTCATGGACTTTTCCTTAGTAATAATTTAACCCAACAATGTAGTTTCTTTTGGAGATACGCTAATGTCATTCTTCCCTTCTTTTTGGAAGCTGTTCAGGGCAGGGAGGAAACACTTGAATCCCTTTTATGTACCATTCAAATGTAGTATAATTTCAAAGGTAAATAATACATAAGCTTTTCACTAAGCTACCATATCACAACACTAAAGTGAAACAAATGCTTATTTTACTTGCAACAAAAACTAAGGACACCATTGACATAGTAAAAGGAAAAAGTGTTATATACCCAGGAAAAATGCTAACGTAGTCTCCTATTCATCAAAATAGCTAAGGGAAATAAACTATCTTCATTCTGCCCATACTAATTAACAAGGCTTGACGAACGGCTGCGAAAGCCACTCGCCAGCACCGCACTGTGCATGCGCAAGACCCGCATTGTGCATGCACGTGCCACAAATGAACAGGGCACCCAGCTGAAATCTACTAGCCCTGGGTGAGTAGATTCAATACTTTGTCAAGCCCTGCTAATTAACTTTAAAGGGATACTGCCAATTTAAAATCTAGCTGTAAAAAGTACAAGTATCAGTGTCAGATGCAGTACTTGAAATAATTTCTAAATCATTTTTACAGTTATACTTTCCTAATATTTTAGTTGTTCTCTCATTGCTATGTGAAGCATTCCCACAAAAAGTAGCGAGGGTTCACTGTACTGTGAAATGCAGCATTCCCACAAACATGGACATTGAATTTGCCCAAAGTACTGTGAAATGGACAAAGTAGACTAGAAAAACCTGAGAATAATATTTTTACCACTCTTAATATTTTACTTTAGGTAACCTTAGGGCTAAGTTGAAAACTTAGAGACAAGTGATTTTTGAACTGGTACCATTTAATTGTCTTATAATATTTAACATATCACTAAAAATAAGAAACAGGATTTTTTCTACTACATATCTGCCATTCCATTATCAAAGTCATTATCTTGGCTATTGCCAAGTGTTATCTCGTGAAGCTAGCTCACATTCCACAACATCAATACACTTGAATACATGGGAGTGGATGCCAGCCTTGCAGAAATGGGCATCCTTATGAGCATACCCTATGATCAGCCTACAAAGTTAAACTAAGGTACAGCGAGGAGAATAAATGGGAAAATAGTGTTGGTGCAGAGGGGCCTCATAGTAATATTATTTTTCTAACTATAACTAGAAAAGGGCAACTGCCATCTAATTGTAACCAGGAGTGGTACTTTGCTTTCAAATTTCTCATGTTCCTCAAAATAGACTCTCAGGTATGTCATGACAGCATACAGTACATTTTATATTTTTTTTGCAGGTGGCCTTCTTATATCCTCAGCACATTTTGGAGCATATGTGTGTGGTACTGATATAGATTATAACACTGTCCATGGATTAGGTATGTTGTATATTTTCTTTGTGAACAATTTACTTAAATATTGGAGAGTTAGAATGATCTTTGATAGCAGGTACTAGTAGAGCCAGCTATGAAAGGAGTGTTCCTCTTCACAGTGTTTTGTGAACTATCCATGATATGCACTGACTCATTTACAAATATATTCTGATTAGGCAATATTCTGAATATTAAAGGTCACTAAACTATAAATATGGGATTATTTTTTATTTTAATGTTTTCTAATACTATCACTAGTTTAACTGCAAATCCTACAGACATTCTGAGTGATGTTACCTGGAGTGGCAATGCCTGATATGGTTCAGTTTAGTGATAAGATTAGCAGGTAGATTTGGCTAACACTGATGCCCCAGAGCCATGGGGTCAAGCATAGTGAGGTCCTATCCAACCTTCTTAACTGTTATGGAATGGGGAGGAGTTGGACTGTGAGACGGGTGTTTTCTTTGCAGTGGGTTTAAACTTACTAATACTTTGAGCATTTTGGCTTCAATACCAGTTTGTATTGCCTCTTTTTGTTACTAAAAACTGTTTAACTTTTTTGAACTTTTTTAGAATCATAAAACTTTATTGTAGAGTGCCTAGTTATATTGACAGTGTAATTTAAAGTAGTAGAATTCAGTATTACTACTATATTCATTGGAACTTAATGTCATAACTTGTAAATATTCAAGATGACAAAGTTATCTTCTTATTAAAGTTAGATACAGATATGTTCTCTCTTCCTGTTAAAACCCATTCCATAGTGAGAAATGCCTGTTAGCCCTTGAATCTCAGGTTTTATTGAATCTTTTTTGCATTCTATGTTTAATTGGGATAAAAGATTAGTCAGTCTACCAAATGGATTAAAAACAATCGACCACTTCTAGTATTGGTGGCACCATCCTTTTTTGTCATGCAGTAGTTATTTTCATAGAAGCTTTCAAAACCCAGAGTTTTAACAATATTCTTACTACTCTGTAAGATGCTTATGTAGATTAAATTAGATATATGAATAGTTTTATGTGGTGTGTGTTACCATAACATAAGTGCCTTGTAAACATTAAGAAGTAAACTTTCCTCACAGTACCTCTGTTAAGCAGAGGAGGTATTCTTCCTCTCATGTGCATTTAAGGAATAACGTAACTCTGAAATAGACGATTTGAATAGAATAACTTCTGATACTTAAGCTAATCCAGACAGCAACTTTCCACAATAAGTAGAACAAGCATGGTGACGAGATTTTATTTGAGGCAGCCACTGAATCCTATAAAGTACTGTAAGATCTACTGTTGAAAAGTATTTATATGAGAGCTAGATGGTATTATCTCTCTATATATTAAAGTTTTTCCTGTGAGACGACAGAGTGATGTCATCACGTCATGCTTTGTCCCTCCTGCCTCTTCCCTCTGTCCTCCCTCCCTCTTCTCCCAGCTCAAGCCCAACAATGCTGCTTCCCCTCATCACTTGGAATTGCTATTTTAAACCAATCCCTTTCCTCTATCCCCACCTCACAGGGCTTTCAATGCACAGAAACATGGCACAGTACCTGGTAGACCCCACATTGCAGCCATGACAGCCCAGGGGCGAGGGAGAAGTGTACGATGCTCAGGATAACAGCCCAGGGACAGGCACTAGGAGTGGGGCTCCCAGCCAGGTTTATGTGCCAGCAGTAGGTCTTTGGGGGTCCACTGCTGCCAGGCTCTTTGGGAGCAGGAGCATGGTGCACTGACTGACCCGGTGCACTGACTTATCTGCTCCTTTGCTTCTGCTCCCAGCAGGTGAGCGGCCAGCCCTGGGTGCTGGGGCAGGGAGCAGCACAGGTGGGGACCTTACAGGGGAGAGGTCAGGACAGGGGCCTCCTGTGCTGCTGCTTTCCCTATCTCAGCAGGCTGCAGTGCCCTGGAGTGCTGCGTGCACATGGCACTTCCTGTGCTTCACTGTATCCCATGTGGGGCGGGCAGGTACTCCTGCGCCTCCCTGGCCTCTGGGCTTGGTGTGCATTGCAGCTGGGAGTAGGGAGGTCAGGGTTGTGGGAGGAGGGAGAAAAAGGGCCTGGCGAGGAGGAAGGGAGAAGGGACCCTGAGTCACGTGGGAGGGGGAGAGAGAAGAGGTCCAGGCTGGTGGGATAGGGAGAAGAAGGGGGAGCCTGGGCTGGAGCGACAGTGGTGGAGGGGAAAAAGGGCCCGGACTGGCAGGAGAAGGAGGGAGAATGGACCCAGGCTGGAGAGGGGGGTGGAAGAGAGAAGGGACCCGGGCTGGTGTGGCCATAGCCCAGCCCTCCCTGGTGGGGGAGGGGGAGTTGGGGTTGCCTACCCCCCACGAGGGGAGGGTTGGTGAGCATAGCAAGCAGGGGGCACAGCTTGCTATGGAAAAACAGACCACTTTGTCCACATCTAATATGCTTTAGATAATTGGTTTTTAACCTTTTTATTCATTTGTGGACCCCTTTGGAAATCTTAGTCCTAGTCTAAGAAACCTCAGGGGTCTGTGGACCACAGTAGAAAACTGCTGTCTTAGATTATGCCTTTTTTATTTGATTGCAGGCAAGGCTAGCAGAAAGAATCAGAAGTGGAGAGGACCAGATGAGAATATCAGAGCTAACCTTCGTCAGTATGGTTTAGAGAAGTACTACCTTGATGCACTAGTTTCTGATGCATCAAAACCTATATGGAGAAAAGGAATGCTTTTTGATAAAATTATTACAGATCGTAAGTTGATTAATGTCCTAAATATATATGATTCATAAGAGTCTAACTGTGGTATTCAAAATATATTGTATGTACTGGCTTGGCATACAAACCTGAGACTGATGTAAGCTCAGGTTCATCAGATCTTTGTCTAACTGAAGGATGTGGGCCAGAAGCACATGGGACAACACAAAGCCAGAATGTAATATTTTTATGTTGAGTCCGACCTTACTACACAAGCAGTTCCACTGACTTATTTTGTAAGGTGCAGTTTGGTACATATAAAGGCATTGGAACCTGGCTCATAATTTGTGTAAAACTGAGAAGATTGTCTTGACATAAAGTGTGGCTAACGGAGACCACGAGTCAGCTAATGGAGTATGCTGGAATCTGAGATGTCTACATTAGAAATTATTAACATCACAGGCAGCATTGTAGAAATGGGAGCTGCATTTTGACCACTTCTACATTTAACTAAGCTATGTTAAATCCCTAATGAAATATGGACCATTGTATTAAAACATTATGTATGTAACTATAATATTTTGTGTTTTGTTTTTGTTAATACTCTTTCAGTGGAGAAAAGTTATATTTCTGAATGGGAACCAGTCTTATTGTCTCCTATATCTTTTCTGAGTCATGCTTCTTTCTGGAGTGACTTAATCTGCATTAGGGGAGGTTTCTGTTCAATTTTTAAGTTGTATTGCACAGGTTTTGGTTTCAGATTCACTACTGAAGTCTTTGGAAAGGATCTGACTGACTTCATTATGCCTTCAGTTAAGGCCCTGACATGCTCATTGAAACTATTTCAAGCAAACTAGTGTATCTCTGTACACTTTGATTACCAGCAGTATTAAAGATATGAAAGGTTTCCGCTTCTTTAAGTTTCTAGACAGCATTTGTCAAGAGCAGGAGACCTAAAAGGCAGCACAGTCTATTAGATTAAACATGGGATGGGGAGCCAGGAACTCCTGACCTGTAATAGGGCTGTGCCCTGACATGCAGTTTTACCAAGAGAAAATCAGTTAGGATCTATTCTAATGCCTTTTTTTCGTGATGAGTGTTGTTTTGCTCCAGGAGCAGGCTCACTGATTTCATTGGGATTCCTGGGAAAACAAGGTAATACACCCAGTGAGTAAGAATCACACCCTTAATCTCTGTGGTTCAGTTTGTGTCTGTGGAATGGAGATGACACTTCCGTGATGCCATGGCAGTAGGAGCATTAGGAAAGCTTAATGAAGTGTTGAAGATGAATTAATGTTTTTACAGCGTTCTTAAAGCTTTACAGAGATGTGTATTACAAAAAAAGACATGTTGCATTTTTAGCAAAAACAAGAAAAAGAAATGTAGACCCTTACAATCACTTCGAAGTATCTGAAGTATGTGTTACAGATTTTCTAAGTGCACTATCAGGGGTTTGTCCTTCAGACTTGTAGCGAGGTGGCTGCTTACTGAGCCAGCCCCTTGTGGCCAGGGGTCACTTTTAAGACACCCTGCGCCTGTTAATCCCCTATTTATGGGCTTGTTTAAACACTTCTCCCCCTCTCCTCTGCAAGTCTCTCTTCTGTCCCTAACAGCATCCTTACCCAGGATTAATTTAATAATAGAAAGGGTACAAACAATCCTCAGTGTCCTTAATAACATAATTGTTCAAACAAACAATGGACCAGTGTGTCTCCAAAATAAAGTTCATAGTGATGACATACAGGTTCATATTCAGTCCTTGTTTTTCTGTGAGACACAGCTTTGCTCTACACTGGTCCACTCTACCCAAATCTGCCAGGTCTGGACCTTTCTGGTTGGAGCTCTAGTCCTGGCTTTCTTCTCTTGTGTTTCCCCTTGTCGTAAAGGAGCAGACAGTTTATATATTGCCCTCTTCCAGAGCGCTGCTCCCAATGGACTGAAAGAGAAGGCAAAGCCTACTCTACCCTTCTGATCCCAAAGAATTCCCTGTGTTTTACCAAACAATAGGTAGTGGAAGTGAAACAACTACAGGGGCAAACTTAACATCCATAGCAAGAGCTGAGACATAACCTTCAATGTTTACAACCTAGTTCCCTGAAATGAGGATAGAAGTCTATTGCGCAGGGCACTACCGATAACCCATATCTTTCTGGAAAATACATTTGGACTTTTAGATTCTACTTGGGCATTCAGCCATGGATAAAAGGAAGAATCTTGGCTACATACATTGTTTTAAGACACATCCAGCCTTCAGTTCCTTCAGCCCCTAGCCTCTCTGGAGAGCCAGGCCATTTCCTGGTCTTTTTAAAATTCAGCATTATAGTTTAAGGTCTTTTAGCCCCCTCTACTATTAAAAGGTTCATTAAAACCCCACTATAAGATGAAACAAAGGAAAGGGATTAACAGCATCATATGTTGTAGGAAATGTACAGAAAATCTTTTAGCCAACAAAATAATAAAAAGAAAAAGCACTTCAGCATCATATTAAATTATTTAAAGTGATTACTATACTATTGCACTTGACTATTTAGTGTCTTACTGATAAGAAACCTTTCTCAAATAGTTTTAAAAAAGTTTGCCTTAGGATCAAGATAAACTTTTAATAGCTACATCTTGAAGAAGTTACCATATAAACTTTTCCAACAGCTACCACATGTACACTATTGTAGAATTTCATGAAGTTATTTGTGTAAAGGGTGAACTCCTGATCTCTACATTATGTACTTACTCTATATAGCTCCATATGGCATACGAGAAGCTACTAGAAGAACTGGTTCACCAAAAGAAATCGTTAAAGCAATGGAAAGAGGGTAGGTAAGCCTTTTATTCATTGTAAATATCAATGTGTTAGTGGAAAGTTAACCACAGTTTTAGATACTTCATTACTATCATTTAAGCAAACAATTTAAAAAAGCACTACCTTCTCTACATAGCTTGCAGAAGTCACTTTCACTGCCTGCCTTCCTAAAATTCTCCTCTTTCTTACTCATAGCGTTGGCCATGTACATTTTCTAGCTTCTGAGTTCCAAACTCCCTCTCTTACATGTACAAAAATAGCTTCACATCCCCATCCTTATCAGTCATTGAACAGCTCTATTAATCCGGTCAATGTTCCATCATCCAGTCCAAAATTTCTTACCTTTGTTTTAAACCTCTTTGTTCACCATGTCCATGTCTTTTAATTTCCCTTTCCTTGCTCTTTGTGCTCACCTACAATAAATGTCCTCTGTCTTGTCTTCATTATTGATATGACAATGTTTTCTGCTGCTTGACTTTGATTTTCTGCTACTTTCAGATCTCATCTCAAAATCTCATCCTCCTTTGAAAGACAACTCTTATGAAAGACACTATACAAATTGTATTTCAAAAGCAATTTTAGTTGAGTAGTTGGGTTTTTTAATATTAGGAGTGGAATTTGCTAAGCTCCTGTGAAACAGTTTGGGTGCAGCTTTCTCATTAACTTTAGTGGGACTTGGCCATCTAAGACTTTTACCTGGCTTTGCAAGTCTCAAACTGTTGCTCAAAAATTTAAATTGTCGATATTACTTTTTTTAGTGTTTTTTTTTTTTAATATTGTTTAGCACAGAAAACCACATCTCCACTTCCTCCAACTATCATCTGAGTGATATCTTTTTTGACCTATTAAACTTTGCGGCAGAGTATCTCGTGATGGGAGGAAGATTGGTGTACTGGCTACCAGTTTACAAACCTGAGTATGTATTCTTCTAAATGCCCAGATATTAGTGTGTAGTAGATGAAAATTAATACTGTAACTTAGCCATAATTTCTTGCAGGGTAAGAGATCTCTAGAACTTCCCACTGCAGTTTAAGAGGGACTCCTACAATTTCCATATGTTGAAACTGGGTGGGTAAGGGAGAACAGAGTTTGGAAACATTTTTGGAAGTAGAGAGAACCATGTGCTGCCAGTTAGAAATCAAAACTTTATTTTTGCAAAAATCTATGCTGCTATTAAAGGATTGGTATGTGACTGGAAAACCAGAATATTGGAATCCAGGTACATTTCAATGCTAAATTCACACCCCTTTAAGAACAGGCAACATTAGTTTGCCTTTTTATTGGGGATTGGCCTGCTAGAGAGAAATTCTGGACACTGAAATTTTCCAGAAGAGCAGGTGATTAGGAGTTATGAATTCTGTGTTCTGTTGTAACTGTGCCACTGACTTGCCTTGGGCAAATCAACTTCTCACTTCCTCAGTTTCCCCATGTGTAAAATGGTGCTGACTACTTATTGTTATGAATGTTTTGTTTGTAGTGCAAATTGAAAATTGCAGATGAAATGCACTACAGAAATGTGAAGCATTAATATATTAACACACAGTGTTCAGTTCTTATCCTCTGTGCTTGTTCTTACTAGAAAAAACTTGATAGCAAATTTGTGGGTCAAAGAGAAACTAGTGACTAATCTGCTGAGTTGTCAGGTGTTCACCAATATCTCCCTTCCTATTCATCTGTAACTCATGGTTCCCATATGTCCTCTTCTTTTAAATTAAAAACAAAACTGGGTAAAATGGATTTTTGTTAAAGTAATTGCTTCTATACTTCAATTGGCAACATTCTGGGATTGACCCAATGGACTAATCATTCCCTGTAGAAAGAACTGTCTTCATTAATGCTAAAAGGACAGGAAAGTGTTTTAGCAGAGTGATAACACCTCTCATTCTGAAAGATGGCATTACACTCCAGAGTAGTTTATTGTATCAATCTGACATTGAAATCTTTATTAGGCCTGAATTATTTTGATCCCTTTGCTGTTAAGCTTTAATACAGGTATGAAGAGAAACTTTAATAGAAGTAGTGGCAGAGTGCCTACCTTTGTAAGTGTTAAGAATTCTTTGGCCTTCTTCTGTCAGGCATTTCCTGATTTTTTCCTATTGTCAGGCATTACCAAATATCAAGCAATAGGAGGTGCCTTGGGAGAGTTGTTTGAGATACTGTTGTGATTTGACACATCTGAAATGATGAACAGAATCAGTTGATTTACTTGATAGGACTTACGATGTATCATCTTGATTCTATAAGAACTCACTTCTAGGTTTTTTATTTCTAGTAACAAATTTCAAGATCTTCTTCCTCACCTATGCTTTTCTGCTGTTGCAGATGATTGCTTAACATTGCAGTCTATTATGGGACATGCTTCGGGTCTGTCTTTAGCTTTCTATTATCCATATTTTATGGACTGGTTTGTTCAGAATCACAAAGTGCTCCACCCTGGCAGCATGTGGCAGATGCTCTGGTGGTGGTTGGTTTGATGTCTGTTGGGACATAAAACTGAAGTTTGGTTGGGTACAAAAATTAAAATGGAAACATAAAGATTGTAATAGTGCTTTTGAATGAAGACCTGGTAATATTTGTTGCACCCAAGGAATGGCTAAAGATTATAGGGCACTTTCAGTTGTTATGTGTGTTTCAGATCACATTATGTGCAGCAAAGATCTCAGCAACTGGGTAACTAAGAGGAAGTGTGGGGAAAAACAATAATAGAGTCTGCTCTTCCAGCTATAGCTATAGGCGGCAGTAGCTGGGGGGAGGGACAGATTTTAAATTTTTTTTTTTTTTCCCACCAC